CTGCCATGCTACCCTGCCTTGGAGCCAACCAACTATGGACTGAAACGTCTATAAACTGTGGATCAAAATAAAGCTCTCCTCCTTCACCTTGACGGTGCTGGGTATTTTATTCCAGCAGTAAGAAAGTAACAAGGACACAAGCCTTGGGTTATGATATATTATTGTAGCACAACATGGATTATGACGCATTGTAAGATAAAGACAATAATTTGATTAGTCTGCATTATGGAATTCTAGATTCTATACAAAGCAAGTAGGTACAGGGATTGTGAGAAAGGGGTAGGATAAGGAGAAGTGAGAATTAAAAAAATGGTTAAAAATAGATTGTAGAGTGCCTTATGCATATTCACAAGACTGTCCTGTTCTACAGTCAACAGACAGCCGTTGAAAAACATAATTCCAAGTGATATCAGAATTAAGCAATAAGAAGATGCAGGGGTTTTATATTTTTTTTAAGAATGCAAGCATTGCATTCATCTATTACCTACAGGTAAACCACCTATGGGTGGAACCTGGTCCATCTGATTCTGAGACCTAGGATCAGGCTACTGTTGTAACTCACCTCCTGCTCAGTTTATACCCAAGTCATAGTAACTGCTTGCCTTATTTTAAGGCATGGCCTGCTTTAGTCTCACTTGTAAAACTTGAGCCCTGGCTTGTTCTCTTTCTTTATAACCCTTGTGTCCCCTTAGGATGAATAAGTACTAATACTTGTCCCTGAAACAGCTTTCATTCCACCACAAGATGCAGAAACAAAGCCACTGTGGCTAGGACCACTTAGACAGACATAGCTTCTCCCTTACTGCCGGGTGCATCTTCCTGTTTTGCTTTCTCTGGATTCACATGGTCATGCTGTCCTTGCTTTCTGGCTACCCACATCACCCTAATTTGACTCTCTTTGATGCCCATTGGTTGGTATTATATGACTCCCTATTGTCTTATTCTGTAGGCACTGATTTTTTTATTTGATTCCATGGCCTATGCCACCCAAATGGGTAGGTCTGTTCCAGGCCTACTGCCAAGTGCATCAACTTTATACACAGCTGGGAAATATGATCAAAGCTGACTGGCAGGTGGAGAGTTGGGTGAGAGGGATGAGCAAAGTTAGAACAAGACTCAAGAGTAGGTTATGAGCAGTATTGAGGGTGTAATGTTCCTTAAAAATCTTAGAAAAATATACTTTAATGCAAAAGTAAATTTTTGTATTATGCTGTAAAAAGACTCATTTCACAATTAAATATGACAAAACTCCCATTTAAATGTTTTAAACCTTCTATTTTAACTCAGAGCAAGTTTTAGTAAACTTCTTATCATTTTGCTCTATTTAAAACATTACAGTCTCGAGTTTTCCAGATGTTATGTTTCCTTTAAATAGTTGTACATTTGCCAGATCAAATTAGCCTTTCCTTTTCGAAAGTGGAAAAATTCCACTGGGTAAAGACAAATGATTACGGCTAATTGATTAATAAAGTGCCGTCTCAGGAAAAAATTAACTCTTAATGTCTAACACTTCCTTTGGCAATCTGAGTATTTCCGGTTTAACCACAATTCATCACACTAGGATTGTTTCTTCAAGTCCCTATTTAATTCAAAACAAAAACAAGCATAAACTATGGCCTTGCTAAAAGAAGCTCGTTTAGTCATATCACCACTCTGTACCAGGAGTTTACCTCCGCATCAGTGGTTATATTTTTGGGGTAATACTGTGATGATTTTCAATCTTAGTTTTCAAAAAAAGTGTTTAAAAATTAATTTTAAAGAGATCTTAAAACAGTGCCTGAAATAATGCCTGTTATGGTTTGTGTCTGAATGTTCCCCCAAAGCCTCATGCAGTCATGGGTGTGAGTGCTCCCTGCTCTGGGGCAAGCAGTTCACATACCAGTGTGAGGGAGGGAAAGAGGCTGCTTGCTGCCTCTCCTTCCTTGTGCTCTCCTTGCTTTTGCTGTCTTCCTCCACCATGAGCTGTTGTCTCTGCCATATTCCACTCTGCCTTGGAGCCAGCCAAGTATGGACTGAAACCTCCACAAACTGTAAGCTAAATAAACCTTTCCTCCTTAATTTTGGGTGTCAGGTATTTTGTCTCAGCAATGAGAGAAAAGTAACCAAGACAATGCATTATATAGTTTTTAACTTTTGCTTTCAAGGATGGTGTATGTACCTTAGTAAAAAAGAAATGTAAAAGTGTAGTTGAAATTAAACCTTTTACAGTAAGACATTTGTCAGTATTTGCTACTATTATTACCAAATCTTGAGTTTTAATTTAAGATTAAATCCAAATCTATGGAGATTAGTGTAAATATCAAAATCTCTGGAATCAAGCACTGGTACTTTGTCAAAATTCTTCATGTAATTTTAATGCACAACCAATATTGAGAAACACTGAATTTGAACCAAGTGCCAGGAAAACAAATTTCATAATTTAAATTTCAGAAAAGCCAATCAGTCTGTTCTATGTCCCATTGATTTAAGGAAAAAAAAACTACCATTTGCTAGAAACTGTGCATGTCATGCCAAAAATGTAAAAACAGTTAGGAAGACAGTTATCACCCCTCAAACACCTAGCAATCAGTCAGGTGAAAGAAACCATAGCCAAATAATAGAATAATTTTTTAATGGCAAGAATGTGGCAATAAAAGTATACCTCAAAGAAGAAGTCATCCAACTCTACTTGGATAAAGCAGAGAAGTCTCCTAAAGCCCTAGAAACACAAACTGAATTTATAGGACAAATAAGATTAGATTGGTTGAGGGGCTGGGGATTTAGCTCAGCGGCAAAAGCGCCTGCCTGGCAAGCGCAAGGTCGTGAGTTCGGTTCCTGGTACCGGAGGAAAAAAAAAAAAACAAGATTAGATTGGTTGAAAGAAAAAAAAGAAAGACATATTGGACAGAAAAGAAAGATGTTTATAAAATGTATGAAAAGAAGAAATAACATATAGTGTTTACAGGTTTTGAAGAATTAGAAGTGTAAGCAGATGGTAAAGCTGGACAGATTGGTTGGGCCTATAATATCAGGCCAAGAAGTTATGGCATTTTCCTACAGGTAAAAGGGATTCAAGGACACAATTTTTAAAAGTATAACATGACTATATCTGCAATTTATCTCTCTGTCTTCATCTATCAAAGGCACACATATATCAATAAGCACACATATGTACACTTAGTTTCTCCCAGAAGCATGCTGGCATGAAAACCAGCTTCCCTAGTATGCTCACACAGTTCTTTGGAAAACTAAATATAAAATATTTTGGAAGTTTAAGTTTTAATCATACATAAAACTAAGCCAAGAAAGTGCTCCTGCAAATCTCTTTTTCTAGTTTCTTTCCATGGAAGCAAATTGAGAAAATGTACTCTTTTTTACATTTTCAAATGCAAGCTTCTATATTAGATCCATCCAACATTTTAAATGAAACTTTACTAAAAAAAAAAAAGTGGGAAGGGAAAGTGTGAAACTCACAGATGAAATTAAAAGGTTTTAAAAATTTACATTTAGGAGAGGTACTGCAAGATTATAGAAGTGTTTCATAACACAATATTTTCTTAATAAAAGTTTACTTTGCAAACAACAATACAAATAAAAATTGTTTAAGGTAGATGTGGAAAAATTGCATAAAATATTTACTCATGTCTTAGCATGTAATTAGTACTAAGCTCCTTGTTCTTACAATGTCAGGACTATTTTTAAGGTCTGCTTTACAAATGAAGAAATTAAAAATACTTTTAAACAAGGGTCATAAACCATCAAGGTTCTGGTATTTTACCCAACTTGAAAGCTAACAAATTACCTTGCTGTGTTTTCGCCAACACTAACAGAAGGCACAAGATTCCTGGGTCGGAACCAAGGAACTTTCCTACCCATAACAATAGCAGAAGCCTTTGTCTTTTGCTGAACCCCAGTTCCTACATAGCAACACAAAGACAACTGGGTTGGACAATCAGCAGGTTATGTAACAGCAATTTTACAATGGACAGAAATTTTTATAGTCTATGCTACCAGAATTTTTATTAATGGCCACTGTGCATGCCTTCCCTTTGCTCTGGGAAACACTGATTCTACCTTCAAAGGTTTCTTACTATGCGAACATACTTGAAAAAAGTCTGAAGTCAACATAATTAGTGCCACTGACTGAAAATTAAGAACCATGAGAACCATAGAGAATTGTCACCTAACAATAAATTGCTGAAGTTCACATAATTAGTAAATGCTAGAACCTAAATTTGAACATAAATCCATCTCATTTGCATGACAGAGCTCTACCCTCAAATATTAAGAGGCACATCAAATGGGATAACCTTGTCAGGTGTCCTAGCCTGTGTCTATAATCCCAGCCCTCTGGGAGACGGAGGCAGGAGGAACAAAAGTTTGAACTCAACCTGGGCAACTTAGCAACCTTGTCTCAAAGTAAAAAAAAAAAAAAGTTTAAATGAAAGTACAAAACAGGCTGGGGATATAGGTCAGTGCAAAGATTCTGGTTTCAATCCCTAATACCAAACAAAACAAAGCAAAATGAGGGACAGCCTTCTGTTCAGTTTAAAAATAAAGGTTTTCCAGTCTTTTTAACAGAAGATGAAGCAAGAAGTTATGCAAAGACCCTTAACTATCGAGATTGGCTAAGAATGTCTCCTTTCTAAAGATAGAAAAATGAAAACATAGCCTCTGGTGAATCATAGATCTCTTTACATTGTGAAGAAAGTTTTAAAGACATCTTCAGTAGAAAAGTGCCAGAAAGTAATAATCTAGGATGTTTTTAGCTGTTGTCTCCAGACATTGAGGTTTTAATTCTAGCCTCACTTGAACAGTAGATAAAATGTAAATGCTGTATCAATAGTATACCTGAACTTTCTCTCTATTGGCTATTTTAAATCATTACAATTGCCATGTCAGAGATACGAAAAAATGTAAAAATTGATCATAACATTTGTCCTCAAGTTTGAGATGCAGAGTTTCCTATTCTGCTACTCAGAGAAAGGAAAGGCTATTGTAGGCAAAACAAAAGCCCATACCTTCTGTGAGCAAGCTCCTTCTAGTTACAGCAGGCTTTTGTGAGGTTGGCTGTGGATGTACCTACAGGGCCACACCCCTCCTGACATCTCTGTCGTGTGCTAAACTGCAGGTCAATGTGAACGAGACCGTGCCACTTCAATTGGAGTAAAAGCCAATAAAAATACCTGGCCCACCACCACCGTGTACGTGGATGGAGATCCAAGCTGATGTTAAAAAGCGAACTTTCCCTTTCCAGCACTCATTTTAATTTTTATTATTATTATTGTAACATCCACCGCTAAAAGTAAACAGTGTTTCCTGACCTCCTAGGACAGTAGTGCTGACTTTGAAAAGGGAAACGGTTCCTTCTGATCGTAACATGTAAACACTCAGGATCAGCCTCAGCAGGAATGCTGGCCTTCAGGGTTTCAGATGAGCCTGTACCACGGCCAAAGGCTTATTTTTGCATGCTGCAAAGGCCAATTTCCCATTTCATAGTCTGTACGCAGCCAGCCTTAACAAAAGAAGTCTGCTGGAGATTTCTTTCTGTGTCTGAGAAACAAAGTGTTAAGACTGACATGGGTCAGTGAAATCGTTTTTTGCCGTAAAACAGGCCCAAGGAGAGGAAGAGATTAAATCTCACTTCCAGAGTTTGAAATCTGTCCTGAATCCACGGTCCATGCAGCTGCTGGTATGCTGCTGGTATTTGGGGATTTTTTGCTGATGAATATAATAATGGCCAAAGCCTTGCTTGGCTGCAAAGAAAAAAACCAGAGGAAAATAAAGATGTACTTTCTTTGGTAACACATTGTGGGGTCAGGATGTTGTTCTAATGACTCACTTGAAAAAAAAAAAAAAGTGGTAGGAAAACTAAATTCAATCCTATGACAAAGTGCTATGGCTTTTGTTTAACAATAATTCTAGCCAACTTGCTAACCAAGATTCTTTTCATATATGCTAGGTCTGCACAATTCTAAAATATCTAAAATAGCCTATTAAGTTTGCTTATGAAATGTTAAACCCAAGTGAAAATCTTTAGACAAATAATGTACGTAGCACATACACTGGGTAAATGAGTATTTGATTAATAGTAGCCTGAAATGTTTGAATGCTTTGGTGTCTTACAGACAAATTCGTGGAGCTCCTGCAAGCTCATTATTGTCAGCCTTGGTCTGAGAATGACCTGAGAGAGAACTGCCCACTACTGACAGAGGGCTGCCCTCTGCAAACAAGAACCATAAAGAAATTTAAGACCAGACCGGAAGTCTTCCTGACCCCACTTCTATCTACATACCTGTGCTGATTGCCCCTGCAGTTCTGATGTCAAATACTTCATCCAGACTTCGAGATTCCGACCCCAGCCCCGAAACCGTATGTATACTCAGAGTCTCTTCAGATATTCACTGATATCGCTTCAGAGTCAGCCTCCCTGTATGTAGGTGAAATAAAATCTGATCTTTCCCACAGCCTTGGTCTCCAGGTGTTTCCTCATGCCGCCATTGCCTATCAATTATCACTTCCGTTTCTCTAGATTAGATAATTGACTGTTTTGCTTTAGAACATCCCCTTCATTGGGATGGAAGAGAAAGCTGTTGGAGGGTATAAGTGACCATCTCTGGGCCGCGCCCTCTTTCACTGATGCAGTCCTGGAGTCCGTTGTTGTTCTTATTGTTGGGTTTAGTCCTTTTACCACCTTCGGGTGTTCTGGCCTGATTTTACTATATCGGTGCATCTTCCATACCCATTCCTGAAGACGTTAGGCAGCCCTGCCGAGCCATTGCGCAGCTCTGCTGCCTTCGTGTGCAACAGCGTTTCCTTCCCTCTTCAGATTTCAAGTAGTGGTCAGATTTAAACTTCAGATCAAGGCTATTTCTTTTATAAAAACAAGTATAAGTTCCCGCGTGTGCTATGCAAACATGGCGCTAAGCTCTATTAGTAAGCATGTAACAGCACATTGCGGTGTTCTAATCCTTTTGCATCCCGGTCTGTGTCACCACTAACTTGCTACCCTTGTCACTGCTCCTCTCTTAGCCACAGCAACCCCTTCTGTTTTGGATCCATGTAGTGTACCCAACTCAGTTCTCTGCCTGCAGTAGATGAGCAAATAATATACTTTTTCTCTTTGTCTTGTGTCCTACTTATTCTTTTAGTTTACTTATTTATACACTAATGTTAAGTTTAACAAAACATGGATGTTTCTACTCAGTTCCCTTTGGAACAAACCACTTCATAACACAACGATTCTGTTAATAAAATAGATTGATCCCTTAGCGACAACTGCATTCCTTGTTTTAAAGCAATAATTTGATGCCTAAATATTCTTTCCCTTAAGGCAAAGAAGGGAAAAGGCAGAGCCTGTGAACCTAATATAAAACAGCACCGCTAGCTAAAATATAACTCACAGCAGCATGGAAATGACTCTGAGGGGGTGTCCACTGCAAGAAAGAAAATAATACACTCAGAAATGAAGCACCTGTATCACAGGATTGGCATTTTTCCAAATATTAAATTTGAACAGGTAAAATTATCCTGGATATATTTTTCAACAAAATTCAGTAATTTTGAGAATTTAGGGATTTTATTTTTTTTTTTCAGAGACTATGATAGACCCACAGGGAAATTTATTTTCAATTTTAGAAATGTCCAAGTCTTGTGTTTAGCCAACTATTTTGATGTTTGGAGCTTTCCTTTCAGTTGCATGACATTGACCACTTGCTAGTCTTGTTATTTTCACAGAGATTCTACTGACCCCAAAATGTTGCCTTTGTTTGCCAATTCAAAACAGGATTTTACACCATGCTTCACAAATTGTGAACCTTTGTTCTCTGCCAGTACTGTGCTTGAGCTTTCTAGCACTTAGCAATTTTCTAACATTGTGGTTGAGGTCATCTTTGAAAGACCTATATTTATATTTTGCCCCTCCTGAGCTGACACAAAGTAAAATGCTTTATTCATGTTAGACTCCTGAGTGAAAATGCAAATGAGCAGGCAGCAAAGCTCACATGTTGTGAAAACACAGAGGCTAAAAAACATACTGCCGATTGCTGACTCTCCTCCTGGATATATTAAATTCATTCAGTATGTTTAACCTCATCCTTCTGCACTCCTTTTTAAGAGGAGTTTCATAAATAAGCGCATAATTTCCCAAAGAAAACATATAGTATTCATGCAACACTTCCCATTAAGAATTTCCATCCAATTGTCTTCTTTTATTTATTTATTTCGGGTATCCAATAATAAGACAAATACAGCAAACGTATATAAAAGCAAATGCACACGGGGTGTAATGGAAAGTCAATTAACTGATAACATGGCAACGAGAACTGAAAGTAAAATGAAGTCTCTGGAATTCAGCATTCTCCTGAAAAGTTGTCCACAAGGTCAGAACACTTAAATTTGGTTCACATATAGAGAAAAAAAACATGGCTGCAATTTATACAGAAGAGCTTAAAGATTTAATCATCTGTTTTGACCAAAAGATAACAGCACCCTGCTCAAGTCTGCTTTGTTCACCCAGGAGAGACTTCTCCTTTTGCTGCCTGCCTTAGGAACCACTGATTTAAAGTGCTTCCTTCTAGAACAGTGATTCTCAAATGTGAACAAGCCTCTAAAATCCCTAAAGGCCTGGGTTCCACACAGAGATTGCTAATTCAATAGGTAGGGAGGGCGCTGCTCAAGAATTTATAAGTGTAATCTGTCTGCAGGGGGTGCTGAGCTGCTTTCCTGAGGACCACACTTTGAACACCACTCTTCTGAGATGGAAGAACTCAGGCAAACCTGAAGGAGAAACCTAGGAGGAGCCAGGAGAGGGAATTTGGGAAGGAGCAGAGACTGTGAGACCTTACACTCCTTGGGCTCTATCAACAGCTAATCTGTGAGTGAAAATGTGGTTTTAGAAATCATCCACGTGGTCAGATTGAACTAAACCTTTTCAGAATGAAGAAGGCCACAGAATTAGGGCATAAATGCCAGATAAACTTAAAGGGGAAAGAGAGATCACAGACCAAGCCCTTATAGGATGGTAGCAACTACAACAGATTACAAGGAAAAACTGTCCTATCCTGTAAAGTAGAATTTCCAGTCCTCCCTTCCTTCACCGTAATGAAACATGGCAGAAACTTCCTCACAGAAGCTAGCAAAACAGGTGTGAATCTCTCTCTACTAACTGAGGAATGTAGAAAACATCATTCTTCTGATGTTTTAGGTGTTAACTTTATTGCCAAGTCCAAGTGCTCTCCAAACTGAGAAACAGCAACCTCAGCTATGTGTGAAGAGTCCGCCTTACCCTGGGAGTGTGACATTATTCAGGGGTCTTAAGGTAGGCCTGGTGGTGGAGTTCAGTGACGTGTGAGCATCAAACAGCAGTCCTCACTGAGGCTGGCCACAGTCTCATCTTTATCTGCTGCTTCCTCATAATATTATTACCATAAGGATTTCTTATAAATCAGCTCAAGCTTCCCAAAACAAGTTCTTTGTGGTTCTGTGCTACACTATTGTGGGGACAGTTCACACCTCTCCCTGCCTCAGGCTGGAAGGGAATCTTTAGGTGGGAATTGGAGTTCTTGAATTCCACAGCTCCTAAACACACGCTTCTCTGAGACCCAAGAACCCTTTTCTTTCTTTGACTTCCTTTACAGATGTCTAAGTTTTTAGGATTTTAGCCCACATGCTGGAGAGTCCAGCACCCACAGGACTGACATGAGTAATGTAAATAAAACAAACAGGAGAGTTGTAATATAATAAAGAGGGATGGACAGTGCCGTGCCCTGGAAAGGAGTGGACATCAAAAAGCATTAAACTAACATTTTTTAAAACTCAGAAGGCCAAACAACACATATATTGGGGCCAATGGTACAGCAGGCTTCTCATTTGCGAGATGTCTGGAGTCAATGCAAAACAAAGACATGATCTCTCTTTCTTCTTTCGCCTTGGCTACTCATGAGGATTTCAGAGTAGTGCAAACTCCAGATTCTTAAAGACAGGGATTTTCTTTTCCAGTCTTATTTAATGGTGTATCCCTAGACGTTAGAACACTGCTAGATGCATTGTAGATGTACCCAGTAAATATCTGTTGAATGACAGAATGAATGAATAAATGAATATATAAAGGAAACAAATACATTGTTATCTTAAAACATTACCCAGCTCTACTCTCTTTAATCTGTACAAATCAGTGATGACTACATGATACATTATGCAGAAGGATAAATGGCACAGGGATCAAACATAGGCAGTGTTACTGTCAGTCAATTTTAAGTTCCTGGTGAAATGTTGACTGTATTGTGCTGAAGCTAAATAAGACAAATTTTATGTCTGAGCGTGGCCTGTGTGGTAGCCTGTGTGGAAAAATAGAAACTTGAATAACAGAGTGAACCCAAGCTTAGAAGCTAAGTACTTTTCAGAACGAATGTCCATTCTGTTCACAGTCGCTAAAAAGCTGTCTGACCTGATTTTCTTTTGAGAAAATTTATCATTGTATTGTTGCCACCTACTCGCCTTTCAGCTTCCGCCACCCTCTGGAGTTCAGGGCTTTCTGCTCCCAGTTTATTCATTTATTTGAGGCTGTTATGTGAGACCCTGACCCACCGGAGAGGAAGCTAGTCTCCGATCTGCATGGCTGCTCCCACCCGCGGATTGCTTCCCTTGGTGAAGCGTTTAGCACTAAGCCAGGAGCACATGAACTCTGATAAAACACTCCAGAGGAAGGCAAGATTTGCTGTTGCAGCTGTTCATTATCTGTGAACTTCTGCAATGTTTGTCCAGTTAATATTGCCCAGTTTGAGGGCAATTTTGGTAAGGAAAAGGAAGATTTTTAGACCCCAAATGTCCTTCACCATGGATGTCTGGAGGCATTGTTCACTTGTATTTTGTAGTGAGGATCCCCTCCGCTTTCCTGGGATCTCTATTTCAGTTCAGTCACATTTGAGGCTCCTTTCTCATGGACTCACTAACCCACGACTTTCCATCATTTGAATTCCTGCTGGTGAGGGACAAGGTACAAGAGCTGTGACCTGCAGCACAGTGTTACTGGAAGATGGTGGGATGCAGGCTTAGGAGGTCTGGGTGGGAATCACTATTCTTACATGTATTTGTTTAATCACTAACTTCTCAAGTGCACGCCTTAGTGAAGAGATAAGAAAACAATGGCAAGAGCTTTATGAGATGCAAAAAAATTAAAAACAGGAGGAGATACTTTGTAAGAAGCAAAGAACAATGAGCATGGTAGTCACTGCTGATGATGGCCTGAATGTTTTGAGTGGGAGTGAAGAAGGAAGCTATAAAGGAAAAATCACTTGTGGCTGTAGCAGAACAGACAAAAAGGCAGGAGTTCTGGGACTGCGATGGGTGGCTATGGAGAAGTGGGAGGGAGGGATGTGTGCGCATCAGGGAATCAACATGAGTAGCCACAGCACGAACAATTCATTAGGCATTGCCACAAAGACAGAATAAACAACTT